AGACGTCATTTGGACGTCGTTTTTTGGGCTAAATCAAGTCGGCCCATCATGGACTTCTTTTAACCCAAAAAGCGACGTTGAAAATTGGTCTTTGTTTGGTCCGTCAGATTTGGGCCAAATTTAGCCCAAAAACGACGTTTAAAATGGGGTTTTGTTTGGTCCGTCTAATTTAGTCCAAATTTAGCAGAAGCACGTTTATTTCGGACCACATAGCCCTAATAAATAGATTAGACATTTGACATGAAGCACTGTTGAATATATTGAAATATATTTTGAAAATATATTTAAAAAATACATAAAATTAAAGCTTAAAAATTGTTCCTCATGATACATGTGTACGAATATTCATGCGTTAAAAAAAGTCAATGTTATTTCTACACCACGTTTACCATTTCTAAAGCTATTATTATATTATATGATATTATAAATTCTGCCTGACTTCTACGTGCTTTAATGGGTGCGCGCGCTGAACCGGAGTGGAGGAAGTCACCATGGAAACGGAGCGGCAGTTCAACTGTCAGCAGCAACTCCCGTCTCTCACTGTTTTTTTTCACTAATTTCAGGTAAGTTTAGTCTCTAAAATTACAGAAATACTACATACAAGCGTTCCTGACACTTTCTTTCATGTAAATGACACGCTTCCGTTGAATATTTACTTTATAGAAATGGTTAACGTTAAGTGTCTTCGGAAAGAGTCCGTTAGCATCTCAACCGTAAGGCTAACTATAAGGTTAACTAGTTATATACTTGAGCTCTTCTTTCTGAAAGTTTGGGCTTTTAATGTCATCTTATGTGTAGATGAGAGTTTTTTATATAAATATTTTGCTGGCAATTTGTCAATGGATGAATGAAAGTAAGCTAATTAAATTAACCTGTACAGTTAATCGGATACGGATCCGTCACTTACATGGAGCTGAAAATGGGATAAACTTACGTTAATTAAAAGAGGTTTTGATCTTTCATGCTAAACATATTGATACCACTTGTTCTGTGATTTCAGAAGCGAAAAAAAAGCAACAACTCTACGACACAGGAGAAGTTCCTGATTTAAACATTTCTGAAGGGAGCTGCTGACAGAGATAGAAAACACAGGTGATCTGAGAAAGCTTATTAAATAACTTTATATGCATATTTCACAACATATTTCGCCTATATCACCATGCATCTGTAATTTTCTTTTGTGTGTGTGTTTGCTTGTTAGTTATTTTAAAAGGGCTTTGATGTCCAAACATAAGTAACACTGTAAGAGCATTACTAAATAAGTAAACCTAAAAGTGTACATTCTGTTATTAAATCCTTTTTTGTATATTCTGTAAATTATTATTTTTATTTTCTGGATTTCACCTCTGCTATAGTTTATAATAAACCTGGCAATGGCATTGTATAATAAATATTGTTGACTCTGACAGATTGTTTATGTTCCTAGATTCTTCCATGCTGATGGCCATGCACTAGAGTTGGAGCGTATCTCCTGTCGAAGAACATCTCTAGACATTATGAACCATATGACTAGTAAGTAATACCTCAAACATACACTACCTAAAGTTTAAGGGTCAGATTTGTCATGTGTTTGAAAGAAGTCTTTTATGCTCACCACTGCTGCATTTATTTGATTAAAATACAGTAATATTGTGAAATTACCATTTTTTTATAACTATTTTCTATTTCAGTATGTTTTAAAAAGTGATCAAAGCTGAATTTTCAGCATCATTATGCCTGTCTTCAGTGTTACATGATTCTTCAGAAATCATGCTTTGTGAAAACAAGAATAAATTAAATTTTACAATATATTCACATAGAAAACGGTTATTAAATAATAATAATATTTCACAACATTACT